TGAGGAAAGCAATGAGGTCTCCCCTGAGCCTCCTCTTCTCCAGACTGAACAGCCCCAGTTTCCTCAGCCGCTCTTCATAAGTCTTGTTTTCTAGTCCCTTCACCAGCTTAACACGATCCTCTCATCAATATCATTGATAAAGATATTAAACAAAACTGTCCCCATTGCCAAGCCCTGGGGGACACCACTTGTAAGTGGCTGCCAACCTGATCTACCTCCATGCACAACGCCCCCGTTGGGCTGTTGCTGCTACCGGTGTTGAGATGTTTATGTAAAAGGCACAAACCAAAACAGTTACTGACCAGCCAATTATATCCAGGACTGAGTCCTGAATTAATCTCTTGACTTTTGTCCCACAATATGCCCATCTTGGAAAGAGTCACATTTTTTCCCCCATGTTTGTGACAGAAGTCATAGTTTGCATTAGAGCTCACGTGAGGACCCTGACAGGAGAGTTTGAAATGGTGGGCAGTAGATAATCATTTTTGAACTCTGAGATACCAAGATGATCGCAACATGTGTAGACCCAGGAAATCACATTGTAATACCTTGCTAATGTCTCCCAGGCTTTTCAGAAACCTTTATGGAGTTATTCTACATGAAAAATGAATCCTAATACACACTTTCAAAAACCAGACTCAGTACAGAACAAAGAGCCCTTGAGGGGTGAGTTAAGCTCTGGCCTGCCACTTTTTCTACTTCCATGTGGAAGTAGAAGCATGCAGCAGAGGATGCAGGAGCAGGCTGGCCAGCACAAAGGCTCTGCACTCCCGTGGCTGATAACGCGTCCCGTATCACACAAATGTATGTCACAGCAGCTAGTGGGGAGGCTGGGAAGCCTCCAGTCCAGTACTTTTCTTTCTGCCCATTCAGGCCATATCTGCTGGATGTGTGGTGTGGGAGTACAAAGCTTGCAATGTGTTCAGCATGATTGACTCCCAAGGAATGCTACTTTGGTTTGGAAAAGAAAGAAAAAACAATACGGTCGATGTGTGTAGTCACATCACACGCTGCTTCATGAGGAAGGTAATGAAATGACACACAGGAGAAGTGGGCCTGATTTCAGAAAATACTATATGCACTCTTGAGGTGAACAGCCTTCATATAATTTGTAGGTAAGTCAGTGATTTGTAAACAGGTGCAGTCTATTAAAGATAAAACTTAGACAGGCATATACAGCCTACTATGGTGATTTTTCATTTAAATCTACTTCATTTATTATCTGTATCTGTATGCACTATGAGAAGAACTGATGGAAAAATGGAAAAGAGTTAGTAAAATGAATGGCTTAGCAATGGATAAAGAGGGAACAAATTGTCACAATATAAGAAAGAACAAAATTGTCTAAGCCAAAATTCAAAAATAAAATAGAAACTTCTGCTTTTCTCTTCTCTTCTCTTCTCTTCTCTTCTCTTCTCTCCTCTCCTCTCCTCTCCTCTCCTCTCCTCTCCTCTCCTCTCCTCTCCTCTCCTCTCCTCTCCTCTCCTCTCCTCTTCTCTTCTCTTCTCTTCTCTTCTCTTTTTCACAGGGCACGCGGATGAATTCACAGCGTTACCACAAGATGTGGAGGCCACAAGCAGGAAGGGGATCTTGTGGAGGATAGAATAAATCAGCAGAGCGAGATTCAGTGGTGGCAATGACGACGCATGGCTGTAAAATGCTGATTGCCAGAGCCCAGGTGAAGGCTTACCAAAGACATAGCAATTTTGCTCTGTTTTGATTCCTTGAGTATGATTGCAGTTTCCCAGAGCTGGGCTGGGGCCACCCGTACCAGCTGGAGCAGAGGCAGCACTGGCAGAGCAGCGTGAGGAAATGACAGCTGCAGGGATCTCGAGTTGGTGATGTGCCAATGCACCTTTTCAGAAGCACTCACCACTCTGGCCCACGTCAAAGACAAGGTCTGGTGTCAGGCAAACCTACGGTCAGGCTCCAGTTGTGATTCCTAACATCTAGTTTTCTTTTACATCAATCTTCATTGAAAAGCCCGCCCATAAAGTTGCTAGATTTCACTCATGGTCTACTACTTTTCCGTCCAAAACAGCCAAGCACCCCGTTAAGTAGAAATATGGTCGATACAAAAGAAGGTTTTTTTTTTTTTTTAATGTATTAATGTATTCATGTGTGATTTGGTCTGGTGTACTTCCTCTAGTCAGACCCTTGCCTAGCTCCACATTTCAGGCAGCAAGGAGCACATGAGGATTTCCAGCGTGCATCCATATGGATGCTCATATGTTGTGGTGTGTGACTGTGTATGTTTTAGCCTGACTTCCCCCCCAGCTATCTGGAGGCAACAACTTGTGCCACCAAAGAGTCCCCAGAGAAACAATACGTTTGGCAATGCTGGACTTTATTATAATTGAGAACGAAAACAACGCATGCAGGAAACCATAAAACCCCTCAAGTTAACTGTAGCCAACTGTAGCAGTCCTGGAGCAGCGGAAGGGCTGCTCTCCAAGCCGGTCGCCTGTAAGTGACTGCGGCTTGATAACATCACCTGTCCTTCTGCCACTCCCGGCATTATTATTTTTTTTTTTCCCCTTCTCCTTCTGATTTTGATCTCAGTCCCAGGAGCAACGACATCGGTGATGACACAAGCTGGGCACAACAGCGTGCACAGCCCCGGGCAGGGCTGGGTGCACGCCTGCAGCGCCCAACTTGTCGCCCCCTGCCCCGGGCGGGGATGTCGCCCCTGCCTGACACCCGTAGGCTCCGGAGCCCCCGGCATACATTTGGTTTGCAAATGGCCTTGGGAAGGCAAAGAGCTGCACGCAAAGTGGCGAGCCAGGAAGCTTTCCAGGCCCTGCAGCGTGTGGGTCTGCAGCTGGGAGGTTTTGCATCGCAAATACAACGCAGGAATTCACCGGGATAACTAACACGGGGCAAACATTAACCTCTTACGCCGGTGGCTTTGCGAAACAGCCGGAACAACTTCCCTTGGCGTTTGCTGCTCTTTTTTCATGGAAAAGAGAGTTTATGGCTCGAAGCCAGCCGCAAATTAACAGCCAGGCGAGGCCATTATGTCGGTGGGATGCTTTAAGCGGTTTACAAACCAGCGCTCAAGGTGCGATGGCTATCCGCAGGGGAAGGGCGGACAGAGGTCCCCGGCTCCCCGCACCCCAGGGAATGCACAGCGCTCGGGGCGCTGCTGGCCGAGCGTTTGCAAGTGCTTTGTATGGGAAAAACCTCATTATAGGTGCTCCCCTAGGGTGTACCCCCCCGCCCCGGGTCGCCCCTCCCCGACCCCTGGGCGCTGCCGTCGAGCCCAGGGCACGGCTCCTGCCAGCAGCCTGGGAGCGATGCAATGATGACAAGTGCAGGCCGGTGTTAGGGTTCAGTTCCAGCTGATTTTATTTCCTTCCCGACGAAAAAAAAAAAAAAAAAAAAAAAAAAAAGGTTATTTACAGAAGGTATATCAACAATCTGACAGGCAGTGAACTTGACATGGTTAGCTGGCATGATTTTTTTTTCTCTTCTTTCCCAACGTTGCATTGTGGGTGATCGTTAGACAAAAAAAAATAAAAAATAATAATAATCTACACAGCATATTGCACAGGATGGATGACCAAAAAAAAAAAAAAGTTAAACCCTTAACGGAACCACCTCATTAGGCAGACGTCCTAGTGCCTGTCATGTTATATTAACATACATAAACACACAATCTTCTTTTTTGCTTATTATAATACAGACTTAAATGTACAAAGATGTTTTCACTTTCTTCATCTTAAACACAACAGCTATAAACCTGAATACATATGCTATCATCATGCCATAAGAGACTAAAACAATTATATTTAGCGACAAGTAGAAAAGGATTAAATAGTCAAATACAAGAATGAAAAACGCAGTACATAGTGTCGCGAACTCAAACCGGCATTTAGATAGATCCAGTGGTTTAAACGGCACGTTTTTGCTTCGAAAAAAAGTGCAAAAGATGTGGTTTACAAGTTAAAGGTACAGGATCCCTTCTACGTAAATGCACCAGTTGCTTTACTTCATTTCGGGATGCGAAGTTCCTTTCTCCCCCCCAAGAAGGGTAGCGTACAGTGTACACGGCTCGGGCTGTGCGACCCCCCCGCGCCCCCCTCCCCAAAAAATGAACGGGACTGCACCGCGGGCACTGGCGGCGAGGGATGCTGTCACTTTAAGATGCCTGCAGATTGGAGTGTAAACATGGACAAAATAGGGGCTGATTTGTGTGTGTGAGTGAGTGAGTGAGCGAGTGTTTGTGTGTGTGTGTGTGTGAGAGAGAGTGTGTGTGCGCGCACACGTGTGTGAGATACTAACCAGCGGCCCTGTTGTTAAAATCAGGAAATCCAAACAGCGATTTACACCGATTTACACCCCCTTTATATATTTTTTACAAAAATACACTGAGAAAATAATCAAACGTTTTCATCTCTCTTCTCTTTTTGTTTTTTAAAAGTGTCAAAAGTCTACATTTAAATATAAAAAATTAAAAGTTAAAACTCTAGCCCTTCAGTGAAGGAGACATAAAAATGGTGCGGGTAACAACGAGAACTACCAAAAAAGGACAAAGAAATACAAGTCAAAAATGTTTGGCCAGTATAAATACGTCCACTTATAAAATGGCATCCGATTACATTTACAAGGAAAAAAACCAACGATACGAGGATGGAGCATCGGTGAGAAAAAACAGTCTTTTCATTTACAGCTCTAAGGAACAAACACATACATACTCTGAGAAAAAAATTTGGTCCTGAATTTCTTTTTTTAAAAGTCCAGCACAGATTTGAGTTGCGTTTGAATCCTTTAAAGAGTTAAGAATGAAAAAAAGCTGGTGATATTTTTGTAGGAATCAAACATAGCGCCATCTATCTGCTTTTATATTATCCTAACACTATTTGTTTCAAACTGTTCAACAGTCTTACAGAAATCTTAAAAAGATAGACAGGATAACATGCTATATTAAACCCCACCAGTGAAATAATCCAACACCATCACGATTCTGAGTAAGAAGAAAAAACTACTTTTTTTTTTCCTTTTTTTTTTTTTGTATTTTCTTTTTTTTTTTTTTTTTTTGCAAAAAGCAATCGCCCTCCACGTCCCCGGTACCACAACGTTACAGAAACTGTTCCGACTCGGTCTCCGTTTCGGAAGAAATTTTCAGTGTTCTTGAAGTTTTCGGCCTTTTTTTTTTTTTCCTCTCTCTCTCTCTCTACATATAGCGTAAGGTGACTGAGAAAAGCGCTGCCGCCACCTCATCGCGTACGTGCAAATCCGTTTCAGTTTATTATTATCTTCCCAAGCCGGCTCCCACGTTTAAGTCTGGCTCCTCTCCTCCTTCGCCAGGCTCTCAGTCCAGCTCCGTCCCCCTCTCCTCCTCCCACCATCGGCGCCTCCTCTCGCTGCAGAACAAACCGGGACGGGATTTCTCCCCCCCCCCCAAAATGTGAACCTTGCAAAGGCTCGGGTGGACTTTTGTGTGTGTCTTTTTCTTTTTTTTTTTCAAGCAGTTCCTCTCGCTCTTTCGCGGGAAAGGGCGAAACAGTCGAGACATCCAGCACAAGGCATCGCTCCCCTCCTCTTTCGCACCAAGCGGGCGATAACAAAGGCCCCAGAGGTGTCTGCGGTCCCCCATCTGTCCCCCCCCTCTCGTCTCTCTTTTCGGGACAAAACAAAAGAAAGGAAAAAGGTAGCGTTTCGCCGCCGCCAGTCTCTGGAGAAGCAGGGCCGGGCTTGTCCCTCGCAGGGGGTGTGCGCCCATCAGCAGCAGTGTCCCCGGCCCCTGCCCGGCCAAAAAAGCCCCCCGAGAGCCCCGACGGGGCGGGCGAGTCCTCCCGGCACCGCGTCTGCGCCTTCTCCAGCTCGGGCCGGCCGCGGAGCTCAGTAGGTGAAGACCAGGTTGGAGATGCTGGACTCCAGCCAGTCCCCCGAGATCATCTCACTTACCTCCGGCGTGCAGTAGTCCGGGAACTCGAAGTGCGAGCCCGAGCCGGGCTCGAAGTTAAAATCCAGGTCCCGGTCGAGCACGGAGGAGCCGAAGCTGCCCAGGGACATGCTCTCGAAGCTGGGGCTCGGGTTGAGGTCCAAGAGGTCGTCCTCGAACTCGTCGTCCGACGAAGAGGAGCCGGAGGAGGAGGAAGAGGACGAGGAGGAGGAGGACGAGTGGGAGGACGCGGAGGAGGACCGCGCCGTCGAGGGGGCCGGCGACGAGGCCCGCAGGCTGGTGTAGCTGCGGTGGTCGGCGGGCGAGCCCGAGCCCGACCCCGACCCCGGAGGCGAGGGGCAGGGGGCGCCGCAGTCGCCGTCGGGCCGGCCCGCGCCGCCGCCCCCCTCCTCGTAGAGGCTCAGCGGGTCCCCGGGCTCCGCCGAGCCGCCCAGCGTGGGGCTGCCGGGCACGGCGCCGCCGGGGGAGCCCGAGGAGGAGGAGGAGGAGGCGGCGGCGGCGTTGGCCGCCTGCCCCCCGCCGAAGATGTAGACCCGCTTCAGCTTCTTGTCGGCCGCCGCCGCCCTGCCGGGGCCCGACAGCGGCGCGCTCGCCGCCCCGCGGGGGGGCCGGCACAGCGCCTGGTGCTCGGGCGGCAGCAGCGCGGCCGGCGGCTCCCCGGGGAACGGGGCGGCCTTGGCGGCCCCCGCCGCCGCCTTGCCGTGGGGCCGGCCGCCCGACGGGGGGGGCTTGGGGCCGCCGCCGCCGCCCTTCTTCGGGGCGGGCTTGGCCGCGGCCGCCGGCCCGACGGGGCCCCCGCCGCCGCCGCCGCCCGTCCCGCCGCCCCCCCCGGCCTTGTCCGCCTTGTCGCCGGGCTTGGCCGCGCTGTTGCCCGACTTCACCTTCTTCCTGGGCCGGTACTTGTAGTCGGGGTAGTCCGCCATGTGCTTGAGGCGCAGCCGCTCCGCCTCCCGGATGAAGGGGATCTTGTCGCTGTCCTTGAGCAGCTTCCAGCGCTTGCCCAGGCGCTTGGAGATCTCGGCGTTGTGCATGTCGGGCGACTGCTCCATGATCTTCCTCCGCTCGATCTGCGACCACACCATGAAGGCGTTCATCGGCCGCTTGATGTGCCCGCTGGGCGTCTTGCACCAGCTCGGGTCGTCCGCCTTGCCGCCCGTCGAGGCGGTGGAGCCCGGCGTCGGCGACGAGGCGATGCCCAGCTCCAGACCGGCCCCGGACTCGGACGTCTCGGCGGCCAGCAGCGCCTCCGTGTTCTCCGCCGTGCCGCTCTGCTGCACCATGGCGGCGCCGGGGGGCCGCCCGGGGCTGGGCGCCGCCGGGGCGCGGGGCAGGGCGCGCAGCTTCTCACGGCGGCCCCGGCCCGGAGCAGCCCCCCGCGGCCGCGGCCCCGCTGCCGGCAGCGCTCGCACGTCCACACCGGCTCTCCCCCTCCGGGCGGCGACGGCAGCGGCTCGGGGAGGCTGTTTGTTTCTCTTAGGGTGCTTTTAGTTTTTTTTTTTTTTGCTTTGGTCTGTTTCTGGCTTTTTTTTTTTTTTTTTTTTTGGAGGGGGCGGGGGGGGTGTCGGTCTGATTTTTTTTTCTTTTTTTTTTTTTTTTTTGCTTTTTCTTTCCTCACCACCTCGAGGCTCGCCCCCCCGCCTCTGCCCGCGGCGGCTGCTCCAGTGGCCGGGTGCCGTCCGCCTGCCCCCGGCCGCTTCAGGGGGGAGGCGGCGAGCCCCCGAGAGCGCCGGCTGCGGCACCCGTGGCGGCGGCGGGCGGCTCGTGCAAGCAGAACGTGGCCGTGGCGAGGGAAAAGAAAAACCTCAGAAGAAAATTAAAAAAAATAATAAGAATAAAATCAAAAATTAGCAATAATTAAAAAAAAAGGCACGGAAAAAAAAAAAAAGAAAAAGAAAAAAGCACGAAGGTGTACGTCCCGGCAGGAAGAGCGGCCAGCCGGGCGCCGAGCCCCGTCCTCCGCTGCTGCTGCTCGCTGCTGCTTGCTGCTGCTTTGCTCCGCTCTGCTTTTTGCTCCGCTTTGCTCCGCGCTCCTTTTTGCTCCGCTCCGCTTTGCGCTGCTCCGCTCCCGTCCGCGCGCGCGGAGCCCCGCGGAGCCGCCCCCCGCGCTCTCTCGCTCGCTCGCGCGCGCCCCTCCCGCCCCGCGCGCGCTGCTCCGGCTGCAGCTGAGAGCGGCGCCCGCGCCCGCCCCGCGCCGCTTTATCCTTTCGCGGCCCGCGCCGCGGCCAATGGCGCGCTGTATCCAACGCGCCCGCGTGCCAAGCGCCGCCCGGCGGCCGCCCATTGGCCGCCGGCGCGGCGCAGCAGGGAGGGCGGCGTGCAATGGGAAGCGGCGGCGCTGACCTCATCGCGGCGGGGCGGTGCCGCGCGCCCCGCCCCGCCCCGCCCCGCCCCGCCCCGCCCGCACGTGCCCGCCCCGCGCCCCGCGCCCGCCGCTGCCGCCAGCAGCAGCAGCAGCAGCACCGCGCGGCCTTGCAGCGGCCCTGCGGGGGCGTGCACCCTGCACCCGCACCCCATGCACGGCAGCGGGGGGGTGTGGGGGGGGTGAGGCCGCCTTGCTCCACACGGGTTGCACGCGCCGCTCGCCGGGACGGCGGCCCCGGCACGGCAGTCTCGGCGGTTTGTTTGTTGGTGGTGGTTGCTGCACGCAGCACCGGTCCAAATCGCTTTTTGAGGCAGAGGCAGAGCACGCTGTGGGGTGGCTGAAAGTTTTAGGTGCTCTGTACGTTGCACGTCACATATTTGTTTATATATTGCATGCATTTCACACGTATGTTGCATATATACCACATACATGCCACATATATACTACATACACACCACATATATACTGCATATATATTACATATATGTTACACATTTCTGCAAGAAAATGTATGATAGCACACCTGAGCAGCATTTCCTGCTGGTTTGAGAGCAAGCTTTGAATATTAAGGTGCCACACTGGACTTACACCATTGCATGGCCTCCAAGGGTTTAGGGAAGTCCTGAGTGCCTGACACGCCACCCAGGTCACCTGCATTACTGGAAATGCTTCCTGAGGTACCTCTAAATTAGTGCTTTGCTTGCAAAATCGATACCTAGCGCTTCCTGCTAGGCATTGGGTAAAATGTCGCCTTCTGGCTTCCCTGAGGACACCCGGTGACATTGGTGAGTTTCACACCTCTGGGCTTTGTGAGAGGCAAATCGTTCCCTGCTCTTCCCCCCAGCCCCAGAGCTGACACGCAAACTGTTGCACCACAGCCCAGCAGCTCGCATGGACAGCAGTGCCCGTGGTGTCAGGAGGTTATTTACACTCGTGTGTATTTACATTCACGTGCAGCAGCCTGACAAGCTGGGCCTGGAAGAAGTCCCCAGCTTCTGGCTGCTCCACCTGTCAGCAAGGGCATCTAAAGGGAGGGATTTCAGCCCTCATTGGGCACAGAAACGTGCATTTGCTTAAACCACACAGCGTGCAAGATATTCTTCCAGACAGGTTAAAGCAGAACTAAGAACTAGTGGGCAGAGGTGTGGAAACAAAGACCTGCAGAGAACATTTCCATTAGCTGTGTTATGGTGTGTAAGGTCTCGATGCCCCCAGCAGGATGACCCCCAGGTACATTAAGCGTGGCTTTAAACTCAGTGTGGCTTCGGTGGGAGCAGCCACCGCACGCGGTGTCACCGTGGTTCGAGCACTGTGTGTGCGGGATGGACAGGGGTGTGCTGGTTCCCAAAAGCTTCCCACATCTGCAAACTCACCATTTAGAACTCCTTAATGAAGGAATGGCAAGGATACGACGTGAAACTCTGTTAAAGCACTTTGTTACAATGTCTTGGCCGTCTCCTTGTAGCTAATTGCTTCCACCCCTAATCCTCTGACTGAACCGAAAAAGCCCCTGCAGGCTCCCCAGCTTTTCAGCGTGGGGACACACCGGGAGCCTCCAGCTCCCACCTGAAACGCACTTTCAGGATCACGGGCCAAATTCCGCCGCTTTTTAACAACTTGAAAGGAGGAGAAACGTCCCTCCATTTCCTGAGGGCTTCCCCGGCCCGGGACGCGGCGGGGACGCGAGGTGGCAGCGCTGAGCCTCGCCGGGCCGGGGACCGCCGGGACACGGCCGGGACAGGGCCGGGACACGGCTGGGACACGGCTGGGACACGGCTGGGACACTGTCGGGACACGGCTGGGGTTTGGTGACAGGACACAGCCGCCACGAAGAGCCCCGGGGGCCGTCCCGCAGCCCGGCCCCACCGCCTGCCTCCATCCAGCCCCTCGGGGCGTGGAGCGGGGCGGAGGGTCCCGGGGAGGAGGAGGAGAGGAGGAGGTGGAGGAAGAGAAGGAGGACCCAGCCCCCCCCCGGCTCTCATTAGCCGCTTAATTAAACCAAGAGGAGGGCGGAAAGGGCGCGGAGGTGCCCGTGGGGTGCGAGCCCGCGTGGGGCCGCTCGGCGACCCGGGGGGAAACATCGCGGCTCATTACAGCGATTCCCGGGACATCTTGCTTCCTGACAGCCCCTGACAGCCGTCAGCACGGGGAAGAGAGACAGCGTCTTATATCCCTTAAAAAAAATAAAAAAATACACCCGAGAGTATTTCTGTCTGCTGCTGAAATCCGTCTCCGTAGCGTGTATTTTGCCTTGCCATTCTGCGCTGCATTTTAAGGAGGCGCATGGCAGCGAATTTGGCCTGCTTGAATTGCAAATGACGAGGCCAAACCAAAGGGACACTGTTAAAAACACCTTTCCCACCATCGTTCTGTTGCCTCTTTTGATATAGGGGTAAGAAAGTTGAAGAGATACTGGCAATAAAGAGGAAGAAAAATAAAATAAAACAACCACAAAACAAAACAAAAAAATGGCTTTTCAAATAACACGGTGTTAGCTTATATATTCATGATCAAAGGAGAGTGTGCCCAAGGATCACACATGCACTGAGACATTAGCTGGGCCCTCCTACTTCATCCTGTTTGCGAGAAGCAAACCCCATTGTACGGTTGCATCACCCCAGCTCACGGAGTGCCTTTGCTCAACATGATTCATAAACACTTTGAACTCTCTCTGATTCCTTTGTTAAGAAGAATTTTATTGCTTGGAAGTGTTATACAGATGATATTATTTACTCAGGAGTGAAAATCTGTTGCCTAAAAATGTACGGTACCATTTCCTTAAAAAATGTCCATTCCCTTTCATTGCACTTGAACACGCATAGATGTGCTGTGCTCCTGCTATGAGAACACGGAGACATTTCTAGCTCATTTAATACAATAAGTAGGTAAGGAGCCATTTGCACATACATATTTATATTAATTCAGATATTAATCACTTATATGGAAATGCTTGGTTTGGGAAGGTAGAAACACCTCTCCGGAGTTTTTTAATAAGAAAATATGATAATACCTTTTATCCTTTATCCACTTTGGTGACTTTTTAAGTCTGAACTTGTTCTCTGTGAATAACACATTCAAAAGCCTTGTTAAAAAATAAAAAATAAACTCAGAAAACACACTGCCCGCATTTATTGAGGGGGGAACTGAAAGCCCTATCCAACCATATACAATTTAGGAAATGTATTTAAAAAAAATCTTATGAGAAAAGCTTTTACTTTATTTTTAAAGCTCTTTTGGCAAGCCTTTTCTGCAAAGGTTGAAGAGGAATTACCAGTCTGCTGCATATGTATCAGCAGATTGCATATGCATGAGCCCAAGCTGCAGTGGAGGCTGCCCCACGAAGGGAGCAGCGGCTGGTGCGTGGGTGCAAGGCTGTCCTCCCCTCCGGAGGGTTCATGGGGGGATCACCCAACTCCTTCGGACCACTGAGCTTTTTGAACACACCTTTTTGGACTGCCCCTCTTGCTCCCTCCCAGCCATCTGCACTCTTCCTTCCTGCATGCTCTCGCCTTCCCATGCCTGCTCCTACACAGTCATCGCTATCACTCTTGTAACATTTAGCTCATCTTTTCCTGTCATCTCTGCAAGAAAGCAAACAGCTGCAAGAAGGCAGTTCGGAAGAAGCCCACATAAGTATCAAGAATGAGGTAATAGTTCTGCCCACTTCCACAACTTCATGATATCACCCAGGCTTGAGCATCGTTGATAAGACAGAGCTACAAAACCACCATGCACTGAATTACAGTCTAGCTTTCTAAAATCATTTAGAGACATTGAATGCTATTTAATTCAGTGTATGGACAACTTATGTCAAACAAAGCATTGCTTATACTTAGCATTCCTGAAAAAAGAAGCATTAGGTAATCTCTGGGCACATAGGATTTTATTTTTTCTAAAATTTAAGTCTTAGCTTTGTTAACTTATTTCTAGAGAAATCATTTATTGAATGATATATTCAAGGTAACTAAGTTGAAAAAAAATCTTGCATAGGATTTAGTTGAGATCATTGTCTTTTTCTTTTTTTTTTTTTTTTTTTTTTTTGAAATTCTTTGGCTTATTCATGGATAACTATCCACAGGATCCAACTCTGTGTCAAGAAAATTCCTTTACCAAGCTGCAGCTGGTTTAGGTTAACCTTGCAGTCTAAGACAGGACCAGCAGAGGTACACAAACTTGTGGAGGATCCACCTGGCTTCAGACTGACCAGAAAACTGTCACCAAGCCAGCTTCAGGGTTAGCATGGAGGCTTTCTGCAGAGCCTCCAGCAGAGCCTGTCTCCAAAGTAACGCTGTTTACTGCTCAGGACAGAACAGTAGAGGTAATAACTGCAATTATTTCAAATGTCTTTAATTTTAGGATCTCCTAAGGCACGGAAATAACTGTGAGTAAAAATAGCAGTGTCCTGCCACTAAGACTGCCAATAAAAGTGGCCCATCATTTTCTGACATTTCAAGCTTAGACAATGTTTAGCAGTTTTTATCATAAAATTACTTTTGTACTACGAAATTCATCCTTCTCCTCCCCTCATTCAGCCCTGTGTTCCTTCAGAAGTAAAAGATTAATTTCTTTCAGGCAAATTTTACTTATCTCAGGTTTTTGTTTGTTTGTTTGTTTTGTTTTTAATTTGGTGTTTCTGATACACAATACAAAAGAGCAACAGCAGATTCTGGTGGGAAAAAGCAAAATACATTTTAATCTAAAGTGAATGAGAGAAAAAGGTAATCTTCTTACCATCTTTTTATTTCCTTTTGTG